CCCTGCCGACCTTTATGGTCTTCAAGAACCGGCAAGGTCCTCGAGAAGATCCAGGGCCGCCGACCCCCCGCAAGCTCCAATCCGTTGTCCAGAGACTGGCCGCTGAAGTACTCGCCGGCGGCGGCGCATCGGGCGGTGCAGCGGCAGCGGCAGCGGCAGCGGCGGTGTGTGGAAGGGCGCCGAGCTACCTCGCGGTTACCAGGACATCACCGACCAGATCGAGTCCAAGGGCTGCGAGCTCCTCAACGCGACGACGATGCAGGCTCCGTGCGTGTTCTCTTCGACGGCAGCAAGCCCAGCGCGCTGGACAAGAAGGACGGTGTCAAGGACTGGGTCGAGAGTGGCGAGGACGACCAGCTGCTCTTGTTCATGCCTTTCCAGGCCATGCTGAAGCTGCACACCTTGCACGTGAGTGTTCCCCAGCCAGGTTCACGCAATGGGCAAACAAAAGATTTCTGACAAATGAACAGATCACCTCGCTCCCTCCCTCCGATGACGATGACGAGGATGCCCCGATGCGCCCGCGCACCATCCACCTCTACACGAACAAGCCACATAACCTCGATTTTGCCGAAGCCGACGACACGCCACCGACACAAGTGATAGAGCTGTCCGAGAAGGACTGGAACGCGTCGGGCACGGCCAACGTCAGCCTGCGTTACGTCAAGTTCCAGAACATTACGAGCCTCGTACTGTACGTGGTCAACGGCGACGGTGACGGCGACAAGGTGCGGCTGGACCGCGTGCGCCTTGTCGGCGACAGCGGCGAGAAGCGTGAGATGGGCAAGCTCGAGAAGATTGGCGACGAGCCTGGCGAATAGTCGCAAATCGCTCTACGGTTGGGCTTCGTGATACCGGGCGCGTGGGCGCAGGAGAAACATCCGGACGGATGACGGACGGTCGGGTTTTGCTTTTAGACATTAGGACGGGAGCCAGCATAGGTAGCGATCCCACGGCGTAGAGAAATCATCATGAGTGCCGCAATGAGGAGCATTGCAAACGTCAACCCTGGAAGCGTTCGGAATTGTCCTTTCACGCTCACGCTTGAGTCTGACAGTCGCAAGACGCGTAGCCCAGCAGGCCGTCCTGAGTAGTAGGTGCGAGTTCAACGTTCTCGTCCACCGAAATAAGGATTTATCAACAGCCCCGTACATGATCACAAATTCATCGAAAGTAAAGTATGTCCGACCTCCTCGCCGCGATCCCGCCCCCACCAAAAGGAGGAGCGTCTGAGACCAGGACCGCGTGAAAAGAGGAAAAGCCAGCCTGCAATTTTGATCGTTCTGGGGCATAACTGACGCTCCGATATATCCACTGTTTAGGATTCGAGCAATGGGGAAACAATTTCAGGTTATGCCAGCCGCACGAAGAGAAGAAAAACAAGAAAAAGGGTAAAAGCAGGCGCGGTCGCGCAGAGTTTTGTAGTCGCGATGCGATGGGGCGCCTGCCCGCCCCACTTGTTGGGTCTTGCTTCGAGCGATTCGGTCGGGATATTGTGACGCCGATTCGGGGACGGGCTTTCATTGATCCGTTTGAAGGCTCGTCGACTCTTCCTATCAGGAGTTCTTGACTTTCCTACCGAGAGACCGCCTCCGTCTTTTTGCGACCAACGGTCTGTTTGTACACGCTATGGCTGCGAACCTTTCGCCTGAAGACGCTTCTTTAACGCTCCGCATCAAGTTAAATCATCTGACAATGCTCACTATTGGAATTAGACTCTGTGATCACTAGAAGACCTCAGTTACGGCAGATACCCATGAGTACGCCTTTTTGGCATGTCACTTATCGATATCTGACCAAGCCCAGGCCTCTACTTTGAAGGCACGAAACCGCCAAACACACCATTGTTTCCTCAAATTGCTCCAATGCCAGGCACCTTTCACTCCTGACGCGCATCGAGGTGATACAGGGGCTCGAGCTTGGCATCCCTGCGGAAGAAAATGTAACGCCTTACCCACCAAGGCAGCCAGGTCCGCACTTGGTACCCCGCATGGCGTCGAGTGGGAACACTGAAAATGTAGTCAAGCTCCTCAAGCGTTCTCTGTCTGTTGGGGGCAGATGTTAGGAACCGCTATGGACTCGAGCATCTCTTCTGTCGGGACTTACTTGGTCTCGGGGATAATCAGGAAGATGACGAGGAACGCCAGGATGTTCAGGCCTGCATAGAAGCAGAAAGCTCCCGTCGGACCGAAATTCTTGAGCAGAGACGGGAAGCTAAGCGTCAAAGCGCTGCTGAACGCGTTGTTGACCATGATAGTCACGGCGCCGCCAATCTCGCGATGCGACAGGGGGAAAGATTCGGAGAAGTAAATTGAAGGGAGCGGACCAATTCCTGAGAAATCGTCAGCATGCTTCCATGTCCATCACGGGCTCAGAGCTCAGCCCGAACTTGACTCACCCGGGCCGTACATGGCGGAGAAAAGGAACACGAAAAATGCGATGAGGGGCACTCGAGCAGACACGCTCTCGTCAATGAGGAAGCACGTTCCGGCGGCAACAAGACACCAGGCCATGTTGGGAAACGTTATCATCAGCAGGTTCCGGCGGCCAAAGGAGTCCATCATGTACACGGCCGGGAACGCAAAGACGAACGTAATGAGCCCAAAACCCATCGAGACAAGCAGGCACTGCTTTGGGGAGTAGCCAGCCTCGGCAAAGATTGTGGCAGAGTAGAAAGCCATGATGTTGATGCCTGGTTCAAACTGGTCAGCTGCTGTCTGCGATCCACTGGACTCAATGAGAGGGCATAGTTATACCGGAAAATTGCTGGCCGATAACGATCCAAGCGCTCGCAACAGTCGCTCGGCGCAGGCGAGGAACTGTGAGCAGCTCCATAACTCGTGTGCGCAGCGTCTTACCCCCGAAGGCATTCCTCTCCTCGCGCACTTGACAGTGGGCATAGTACAAGTCACGAGCAGCCATCATCTCAGTGTTGCGAATGCGACAGAACGATTTGAAGCATCCTGCATTCGATCCTTCTTCATGAGCCAGCGGGGGGACTCTGGACGGAACGGTGTCAGCTTGGGACTCTTCCTCTTATCCATCGAAGCACTCACCCGGACACCACCAAACAAAGATGACGACAGGAATGGCAGGGGCAAATGCGGCAGCGAGCTGAAACCGCCAGGCGAGATCACCAATGCGGAACCAGATCAGGTTAGAACAGAAGCCAACGAAAATGCCAAATGCAACACAGAGTTGAAAACTCGTGACGATGCCACCTCGAATAATGGCCGGCGCAACCTCAGCCGAGTAGATTGGGATCGTCGAAATCTTGATGCCCATGCCAATTCCCATAAAGAGTCGACAGATCAGCAAACCCCACCAGTTCTGTGCGAACCCTTGAGCCAGGACCGGAAAGATAGCAAACAGGCCGGTGGCAAAGATGGTTCCGCGACGTCCGAGCAGGTTGTTGACGGGATCGGCCGCCCAGGCGGAGAACAGACCAGCGAGAGCAGGAGCCGCATTAATGGCACCTACAAGCATCTCCCTGTGCTCGATTCCAAACTCAACGGGGAAAGACAGGTTTGCGCCATTCGCACCCGTATTGTCCCAGCCTTGGACGGCTGAGCCGAGAGAACAGATCGCGATGGCGTAGTAGAGTTGACGGGGCAAATGCCACTTGTGGGTAATCTCACGACGGAGAAAGTGACGGTCGTCGTCGGTCATCTCCTCAAACTGCTCCCATGTTTCTGGGTTCTGGGCTGCGAGGGCACCACGATAGAAAACGTCCTCTTTGCCGTTGAATCCAAAGGTTTGACAAAAGTCGTCAGTCTGAACTTTTAGGTCTTGCTTCGCGATGCCGATCAAAGGGTTGCGAATTCTTGACACATCTTAGCAAGCAACGTCAAGCACAGGCCATTACTCCGCTCACCTGGCATTTATGTTGCGAGCATAGTCCTGCTCCGTAAACTCCACGTGAGAGGCATCGAGCTTGGGCTTGATGTCGCCCTCGTCATCAGACATGCGAGGCATTGCGGAGGAGTCAAACGACGGTCGAAGGCGATTTAACTTAGCAGTGATTCGTTTCTGTATTTATCAGATATGCCTTTCAATATCGAACTCTGGAGCTAAGAGTATCTGCGGCTCTTATATTTATGGACCTTGTTGCAGCTCTTCCCCATGGGGTAGCTTCGATACCGAGGGACTGTCACCGTCTCCACGACGTTGCAGCTCGCGAAAGCTTCGGAGCGAGGCGGCAGTCAGCCGAGGGGGAGTCCTGTGCAGGAACACTCGCATAGCGCCTCCAACGGCAGTGCCCTGCGTGTGTCATGTCGCCGAATCCGCCCACGACCTGTGCAGGGCCCTGGGTGGCCTAGTCAAGAAATGGTCAAGTGCCGGAGTGTGGGTGAAAGCTTGAGTAAGAAGAAAGAGGGGTTCTTAGCTCCCCGACTCTCCGCGCAATGTTCCAGCAGTAGCCTGCATTGGAGTTGAGTGTCTGACTCGAACGTAGCTCCAGTGCCCCAAGTCCCGGCCCCCTACTCCTGGCAAGAATTTAGGAGCTCAGCAGACGTTGCCGCGCCGATCTTTGTCGATTTGACTGTGCCCTGTGTGTGCCATTTTGCGAGCTCTGGAGAATACCTGCTATCTACTGGCCGTATCCAGGTGCCTGCACAGGTCCATCAACATCATATGGTTTTGATGGATTCAACACACGCAGGGCACATCGGCAAGATTGTAGAGGTTGCCGAAGCGAAGGAGTCGGAGATTGAGCAGGGGATAGATAGAAACTTGGCTAGGCTTTAAAAGCGTACTGTACTTTCTCCTTGACTGTTGGTAATGATTGTGCCCAAGCTACCTCCTCTTAGCGACGAGATAAAACACCTGACGATAACGCTTTCATCAAGATTACATCAACATATCCATCTCGACTTTCGCCAAACATGGGCAGTGCCGGCACACCAACATGGCTCGACAAGCTCGAGGAGCAGTGTACGTGGCGCATACTCGGCCGGCCTTGAACATCGCTGATGCAAACAGTAAATGTGGACGTGGACTGGATGGACCCCGAATACATCAAAGGCATGCCGATCGTGCCTCACGACCAGACTAGCAATCAACTTTGGGTTGACATTCAACTCGGCGATGATTCGAACCGGGACCTATTGCTCGAGACGGCCAAGGAACTCAAGAACGAAGGCTGGCTTGCCATCTACACTCGCATGGTCAGCGGCTCATGCCTATGCAATATGACTCAAGGGCTTCTTATTGACCGTGCTATGTGCAGGCTGTTCTGATGTGCAAGAAGAATATCGACTCTATCAGGGGCCGCGTTCTACTCCAGACGCTTCCGTCGAATGCTTTCCGCTTCCAGGAAACCCTCGACCATGCGCGCCTCTATGACAAAGAGTTCGCTCGTGCAGGGATCGGCCGCGACAGATATTGCATCAAAATTCCCTCGACGGGCCCTGCTTTGAACGCAGCCAAGGTTCTCTCATCGGAGGGTATCCCTACACTCGGCACGGCCCTGTTCAGTCTTCCGCAAGCCATTGCGTGTAGTCAGGCTGGCATGCTTTACATCAGCCCCTACTATAATGGTAAGTTCAAGGATCCGGGAGACCAAGACACCTGATCTGGGTCATTCGGCTAATCATGTATCTTGCAGAGGTTCTTGCTCACGATGAGCCAGAATTGTGGCCCAACGTGAAGGATCCAGCAGTAGAGCACCCGATGTCCGCCCGCATTGTACAGATCATCGAGACATATAAGCGTCTATACAAAGAGACGGGCAAGGAACAACCACTTGTCAAGAATGCTAGGCAAGAGAATCATTTACTCCGGTGTCCAATTTTGCACGCTAACTCCCACCTAGTTTCATCACTGTTCAGGAGGCCATGGCTGCCGGTGAAATGGGCTGCCACTCGGCGACTATATCGCACACGGTCCTGAACGAGCTTGCGAAGCTCCCTTACGTCGCCTCTGAGCAGCCGGGCCCCGATGTCCCCAAGCCGGTGCACGTCTACAAAGACGCCCCGCCCGTATCGGACCGCCTCCGCAAGCTTCTCAGCATCGACCCTCTAGCTGGTCCTGACTGGAATGGGAAGTTGGCGAGCACAAATGTGGATTATCTCGCTGACGGTGGCGCGCCCCTGCAGAACGCTATCGAGGCGGACGCGGTGACGAAGAAGAGACTAGCCGATGCGATGGCCCTGTTCACAGGCGGGCAGGAGAGGAGCCGTGCTAAGATTGAGGAGGTGCTTCCGTTGGTCTGAATGCTTGCGCTGTCTCCAAAGTTATTTATGATGAGCAATTCTAGCTACATTCTTTTGCATTCGGCGCCTTGGAAGAATCGATACAAGTGACTGTGTGTGCTAAAGGGGCAGGAAAGTAGGCGACTCATGATGGATAGTCTCGATCAGATAAAGCGCCGAGAGACTAGATAGTTTGGCCGGTATATGCGCACCTTGTACAAAGTGTTCCTGAAAGTGTCCATTGGTCATGATGTTCGTGAGGTCTTTGGTCAGTGTTCGAGAGATCCAAGTCTCCCGCGTATGGCATCGATAAGGACATCGCGACCGAATTAACGGGTATCGCGGGTTGTGAGCCGATATCATTGTGGAATATGAGCCCTTGATTAAGTGAGGTTTCCTCTGTTAAGTCAAAGTCCAGGAAAGGGACGTCTTGAATGGCTAGAGCAGAGGAAGAAATTTCGGCGCAGGTTTGCGAGGGATCCTGTGTCGCGAATGATGGTAAATCTTGTAAGGGCAATGTGATCGTGTGGGAAATCGACTCCTGGTGCGTCACATCCCAGAAACGGTCGAGGAGAGTGGTTTCCGCTGCGGGCGCCGGAATTGCGAGGGATATTAAAGTAGGCATAGACCCTGAAACGGCCGTTGGTGACACGGAGCTGCTGCTTTCGGCATTCGCGGTTCTCTCTATGTCATCGCGTCTCCCAGACTCTTTTTCTTGCTCCACAAGGCGGTCTATGTGTAGATTGACGGCCTTCGCAGCCTGTGGCGCTAAACCGTCAATAAGCCTCCGGTGGTTGACCTGAGCAAGAAGCTCATCACGCTCTTGCACCAGAGCACGGATGTCTTGGAACGCATCAGAGCAGAGACTTTTCATGAGCTTGTGACGAGCAATGCTCTCTTCGACCACGACGTGCTTGGAAAGGCGTCGAGGGTCAGTGCTGCTAAGGGCTGGAAGATGAGTTGCAAGTTCCTGGCTCATCGTCAGCTATGCCCTAGATACCTTACGAGCACAGTAGATCAAAGATGATTGTAAGGACTCAGTAAGACCCACAGTCAGACGGCCCTTGAACGCTTCGCGCCGGTTTTTCTCGAATATGCGATGGGTCGCGCGGTCATCGGCTGTGAAGTTACGCACACGCTTCTTGCCGGCCATCTTGGCAGGCTCCCCGCCGCTTGTACCAAGTGTAGGCGTTCTCCGCTCCGGCTTTGAGGTGACCTCCCGTACGGCGGCCGGCATGGGGGAGCATTCTTAAACGGAGGCTCGTAGTTGGAGCGACTAGGGGCACCTTGATCTCGTGCCTCAAATCTCGAGCTTTGATCGTGATTGAATTCGTCGTGGTAGACTACTCAAGACGAATGATGAGGGGGTGCGATGGACACAGAGACCGCATGAGAGGAATCATTCTAGCGGACAGGCCATGGCACGTGGACGCCAGCAGCCGTAGGGTAGCTAGCCGTGGCGCTACCTTGAACAGGAGCCTGTACAGGGCGTAGGGGGTCGCGAGTCAGTCCCAATGATTCCCGTTATACCATTTCCCCAGCTTCCCCGCGCGCGGGGATGTGTTTCACGGAATTAAGATTTAGTATGGAGCTTAGCCGCCAGCTATGGTGTGGATTGTGGCTCGGTGAAGAATGCGCCGGAGTTGACTTCTAGCACGGACACGAGTGCATATAGCTCTTCTGGATTGTTATGTCGAGAGATGTGGCAGTTGAGAACGCAAGGGGCTTTAAGGGGTCGCTCACCGAGAGATCGCCACCACACCGATAGACATTCTTCGAACTGACTCTGTCCCTCCTGTCATAGGAAGATTGGCCATCCAATGGGAGTGTGGTTCGGAACTCGAACTTTCCCCGTTATTTTTTAAAGCATTGTTTGGATTGGAATATATTCCCAAAACATGATAAACAAATTTATCATTTTCCGAATCACTGTATTGTTCACCATAGCTACTCGATATGAAATTGGTGATACTAAGGCTTAGCTTTCGGTGTCATAAGGCCCTATGTGAACGTTGGATTTCGACCTGCCAACTTTACCTAACTTGACTTCTTCAGATGGTTGCCATTAGGCCTCTCTATTCTTCCTTTTGAACGGTTCCGCCAGTCCATGAGCTACAAGATATCACAGACAAACAATAACGTCATCCACTTATGTCAGCGGCGCAGCAGCACACCCTCTCACTTACCAAGTCTAGACTTGTCTCGCCTCGTTTGCTTTAAATGAACGGTCTCTAGTCTTCAGGATCCCATCCTCCAGTCGCCTTCCCCTAATCATATCACATGCCGCACGCCAGGTGCCGTATTCTTAGCTGCTGACATGGCACTTTACTTCTGCTGACCGCTATAGCTCACCTGCTGCTTGGCTACCCATGACCCCCTCTCCCTGGCGCTCCACCCGCAATGCATCGCCCATTCCGTTGGGTCGTGGCACTCATAGAGAACAATAGTCCTGCGCGTGGTGCATTAGCTAGACACTCATGACATCTCCATTCATGCATGTGCTCCAAGGCCGCCCTGCCGCCATTTGAAGCTCGCCATCTGGGTGCCGATGAGTCCTTTGCCAGCCAGATGAACCGCGACACCCAAACTGTAACTTGATATCAGGCAGCCTAGATTGCACACTCGATGCTCTTTCAGTCGAAAAACTATCAAGTTTCTGATGCCTGAATCGGTTCTCGATGCACACGTTCTATTGCAGTCTTGCATACAAACTCGATGGCCGTTCTAGCTATCCCCTCCATTGGCTGGCAGCCTCAACCCACATCGCATTCTGATCAGTGGCCCCTCAACAAGACGCTTCCCATATTGAAGTTGCCGCCGGAGCTTCGCCACATCATCTGGGAGTTCGCCCTCCCGGCACCACGCATCTACGAGGTCCTCGATGGCCCCGAAGCCAAACAAACGACGCCGGCTGTCGATGGTCTCATATTTGCCAATGTCCGTTACGAACCCCCGCCGATACTGGCGGCGGTCTGCCTCGAAACCAGGGCCTTTACCTTGCGCCGTTTCAGGGCCCTTACCCTGTCCGGGATTACCAAATATGTCGATCTCAGTTGCGACATTATCCTCCTCGAGCCATATCTGTTGGTCAAAAGGCTCCTCCGCACGCTCCAATTTCTCATCCAGGTTCCCCTGGTGCGGAACAACCTCACGTGCCTCGCCCTTGGAACATCCTACGGCATGAACACGAGGTTGACTCATCCAGTCCTCGGCAAAAAGGTGTTGGAGACCAACATCGGCGTCCTGCTGTCGCGCCTCTCCAAGTTGCCAAAACTTAAAAAGCTCCTATTCATCGTCCATCAGGAGTTTCAGTTCGAATGGGACTTGTCTACTGCAGAGGCACAACTGCCACCACTATTTTTGCTCAGGAGTATTCCTCCGGGATCGCATGCTGCACGTCAAGGCTTCCGATTCAAGCCTGCTTATGACCTGCACAGCAACAACCATTTCTTGCGGATGCCATATGAGAACGCCCTCTTCCCCTATTCACCCGGCTCACAGGATGACTCAAACCGACCTGTGCCTGAGTTCACGGTCCTGCGGAACGAAGACTGGCCTTCGGATGACGAATGGCGAAGGTTTAACCACAGGTTTCAGAGGGCAGCAAAAGCATCTCTCGAGACAAAACAGCCTGGCAAAGCCACAATCGAACGCGAGGCGCTGCCGGCTGTTGAAGGTGCCTGTCTGCTGTGGCGCTACAAATCTCAACATTCCCGAGCACATGACGGGTCGATTTTATAGCATCATTGCCGTGCGTGTAACATAAAGCATGGTATCTTGAAAGAATCTCTCCATCAAAATCTCCTGAAAGCAGAGTCTCAGTCTTTCCGTACACTCCTGACCTCATGTTGGATATCACCGCTCTTCGGTTGAGTTTCGACGGCAGTATACTGAATTATGCTTTGGTCTGGCTGGAACACAGCACCCGATGCAACTCGTCGGCGTCTAATAAGAAATCTGCAATACAGGTGAGCCATGGTGTGAAAAATGACAGGGTAAGGACTGAATGCACTAACATGATGCTGGCAATAACGGCCAGCAGAACTGGGACGCCGAGACCAATGCTCACGCCGAGGATAACCTTCTTGTCAACTCCCCAAGCCTTACCGTCCAGAATACTGTCTTTCTCGGATCCCTCCGCGTCATTGTCACCGTTGTCCGAAGTAGGTGACTTTGTGGGCGGCGGTGGAGGTGGAACGTACGACACGGGCGACCCAGACGTCGATTCGAGTCCCAGCGCACCCGACCCAAATTCTACAACGCGGTTGATCGTCATCGCCGTCACCTCTGGCCACTCGGCCTCAACGCCTGACGCGACTGCCGTCACGAGTGTCTGTACCTCGGTCACTTCGCGCAGACTCTGCAACGGCGCCGGGCAGTTCATGAGTCCAATAGAAATGCACTCCAGTGCTGTAAAGACAATTTCCTTCGTCAACGTCGTCGTCGTGAGGTCTTCTTCTTCTTCTTCATCATCCTGCCGCTCGCCGAGCTTTGAGGTGCTAGACGCAGTCGTCTTCGGGCTGACGACGCATTCATCGGCCAGCGTTGTGTACCAGATGGGGATTTCTGTGCTCGGAGCCGGCCCCCAGGTCTGGTCCATGATGGCAATGGTCGCGCCAGCAGCGGCGCCCAAGGCGAAGACAAACTCCTGCCTCACGCGAAGCTGACAGTCTTCATCCTCTTCGTCGTCTTCATCTTCAGCATCATCATCGCGTCGACGAATATCAGAGTCTGCACTACCAGTGATGATGCTCGTCGTAAGGTCGGCGAGATCCGCCCAGACGGCAACCTCAATGCCGCCACCTGCGCTCGGGAACTCAAAGTCTCCGGCAGACAGATCTGGGAGGAAGGGAGTATGGAGCTCGAGGCCTGCGTGGATAGCGACGCGAAGGAGAGCTCTGAAGGTCACGCCATCGCTTTCAACCGTGACCGGGAGGAACTCAAACTGGCCGCCGTTACTGGGACTTGATATTAGTACATGTTCGAGGGGCTCATGCTGGTAACCGACGTAAGGGGAGGTTCACTCACAAGACTATATCGGAAACCTCATCTGAAAATAGGGCAATATCAATAGCGATGCCGTCATCCAATTTTAGATGAAAGCCACTCGCAACGGAGATTTCTGACTCGACGCTGAGGAGGAGATCGACAACGAAGGTCACGCCGACGAGTACATCGCCGACTTTGAACCCGAGAGGCGTCACCGACGTGTACAGATTCAAAGAATACGTCGCGCCCGCCGTCATCGTAAGCTGGGTATCCATGTACAACTCGAGGCCATCGAAGCCGAAGTGCAGTTGGCACTCAGGAATCCCCTGGATGTCAAGGTTCAGATCTACGTCGAGCGGAGGCAGATCAAAAGCACTACTGCTGACGCCTTGTTCTTGCACCTTGTCAAAAACGTCGCGAATGTACGTGTCGACATAGTCAGTCATGTTGTCGATGACGACCTCGAACTTGTCTCCGAGACTTTGAATCGCTGCGCCAGCGTCAAAGTCTCCGTCGATGGTCAGATCGACGTTGGCAGTGCCCTTGATGTAGCATGTGCGACAGAGCACCTCAACCGAGGCGTGCAATGAAGCGTCTGCCGTAGCTTCATTACCTTTGGGAAGGTCAACTCCAACCTCGTTGCTGATCTCAGCGCCGCTGGATGTGTCAGTTTGGCTGTTGATGGAAGCAAAAGGGGGAACATAGGGAGATGACATACTATCTGAATAGTACGGCATTGCTGAAGCTCTTGTCGAGTGACGTTGAGTTGCCCAGTTCATCTTGACGCTCCTCCAGAGACGCCTTTGCGAGGCTTCGGCGGATAGCATGTATGGCCTGCTCTGGAGTCATTCCAGGGCGCTGCGAACTGAGGCATCGAGGGCCGGCTGTCTTGTGACGCTGGCGGCAACCAAGGCGCCAGCACACAGGGTGAAGGCAATTTGGGGCAACATTTGAGTGATATCAATAACCTGACTTGACAAACCTCTTTGGAATCTGAGGGGTCCCCATTCAGTCGGGTCTTTCACGGCTTATCATTTCCCAGCGACTCGCGTTCAGACATGCACGCATACGCTGTCGACGTTGCATCTCCGCAATGACAGCCTGAGGGCTTGACTGTGCCCCTGCAGGATCATGTCCGTGTCAGAGAGCTCAGCCCACGATGGGAGAGCTGAGG